TCATCGTGTAACGGTGACTCATCGTGTAACGGTGATTCATCGTGTAACGGTGATTCATCGTGTAACGGTGATTCATCGTGTAACGGTGATTCATCGTGTAACGGTGACTCATCGTGTAACGGTGACTCATCGTGTAACGGTGACTCATCGTGTAACGGTGACTCATCGTGTAACGGTGATTCATCGTGTAACGGTGATTCATCGTGTAACGGTGACTCATCGTGTAACGGTGACAAATCGTGTAACGGTGATTCATCGTGTAACGGTGATTCATCGTGTAACGGTGACTCATCGTGTAACGGTGATTCATCGTGTAACGGTGACAAATCGTGTAACGGTGACTCATCGTGTAACGGTGATTCATCGTGTAACGGTGACTCATCGTGTAACGGTGATTCATCGTGTAGCGGTGATTCATCGTGTAACGGTGACTCATCGTGTAACGGTGATTCATCGTGTAACGGTGACTCATCGTGTAACGGTGACTCATCGTGTAACGGTGATTCATAGTGTAACGGTGATTCATCGTGTAACGGTGACTCATCGTGTAACGGTGATTCATCGTGTAACGGTGATTCATCGTGTAACGGTGACTCATCGTGTAACGGTGATTCATCGTGTAACGGTGACTCATCGTGTAACGGTGATTCATCGTGTAACGGTGATTCATCGTGTAACGGTGACTCATCGTGTAACGGTGACTCATCGTGTAACGGTGAATCATCGTGTAACGGTGATTCATCGTGTGACGGTGACTCATCGTGTAACGGTGATTCATCGTGTAACGGTGACTCATCGTGTAACGGTGATTCATCGTGTAACGGTGATTCATCGTGTAACGGTGACTCATCGTGTAACGGTGATTCATCGTGTAACGGTGACTCATCGTGTAACGGTGATTCATCGTGTAACGGTGACTCATCGTGTAACGGTGATTCATCGTGTAACGGTGATTCATCGTGTAACGGTGACTCATCGTGTAACGGTGATTCATCGTGTAACGGTGACTCATCGTGTAACGGTGATTCATCGTGTAACGGTGACTCATCGTGTAACGGTGACTCATTGTGTAACGGTGAATCATCGTGTAACGGTGATTCATCGTGTAACGGTGACTCATCGTGTAACGGTGATTCATCGTGTAACGGTGACTCATCGTGTAACGGTGATTCATCGTGTAACGGTGATTCATCGTGTAACGGTGACTCATCGTGTAACGGTGATTCATCGTGTAACGGTGACTCATCGTGTAACGGTGATTCATCGTGTAACGGTGACTCATCGTGTAACGGTGATTCATCGTGTAACGGTGATTCATCGTGTAACGGTGACTCATCGTGTAACGGTGATTCATCGTGTAACGGTGATTCATCGTGTAACGGTGACTCATCGTGTAACGGTGACTCATCGTGTAACGGTGATTCATCGTGTAACGGTGACTCATCGTGTAACGGTGACTCATCGTGTAACGGTGATTCATCGTGTAACGGTGACTCATCGTGTAACGGTGATTCATCGTGTAACGGTGATTCATCGTGTAACGGTGACTCATCGTGTAACGGTGACTCATCGTGTAACGGTGATTCATCGTGTAACGGTGATTCATCGTGTAACGGTGACTTATCGTGTAACGGTGATTCATCGTGTAACGGTGACTCATCGTGTAACGGTGATTCATCGTGTAACGGTGACTCATCGTGTAACGGTGATTCACGTGTAACGGTGACTCATCGTGTAACGGTGACTCATCGTGTAACGGTGATTCATCGTGTAACGGTGATTCATCGTGTAACGGTGATTCATCGTGTAACGGTGACTCATCGTGTAACGGTGATTCATCGTGTAACGGTGACTCATCGTGTAACGGTGATTCATCGTGTAGCGGTGACTCATCGTGTAACGGTGACTCATCGTGTAACGGTGACTCATCGTGTAACGGTGACTCATCGTGTAACGGTGACTCATCGTGTAACGGTGACTCATCGTGTAACGGTGACTCATCGTGTAACGGTGATTCATCGTGTTCGGTGAATCATCGTGTTCGGTGAATCATCGTGTAACGGTGATTCATCGTGTTCGGTGAATCATCGTGAACGGTGAATCATCGTGAGCGGTGAATCATCGTGAGCGGTGAATCATCGTGTTCGGTGATTCATCGTGAACGGTGATTCATCGTGAACGGTGATTCATCGTGAACGGTGAATCATCGTGAACGGTGATTCATCGTGAACGGTGATTCATCGTGAACGGTGAATCATCGTGAACGGTGAATCATCGTGAACGGTGATTCATCGTGAACGGTGATTCATCGTGTTCGGTGATTCATCGTGTTCGGTGATTCATCGTGAACGGTGATTCATCGTGAACTGTGAATCATCGTGAACGGTGAATCATCGTGTTCGGTGATTCATCGTGAACGGTGAATCATCGTGAACGGTGAATCATCGTGTTCGGTGATTCATCGTGAACGGTGAATCATCGTGAACGGTGAATCATCGTGAACGGTGATTCATCGTGTTCGGTGATTCATCGTGTTCGGTGATTCATCGTGAACGGTGAATCATCGTGAACGGTGATTCATCGTGTTCGGTGATTCATCGTGTTCGGTGATTCATCGTGAACGGTGAATCATCGTGACCGGTGATTCATCGTGAACTGTGAATCATCGTGTTCGGTGATTCATCGTGAACGGTGAATCATCGTGAACGGTGAATCATCGTGAACGGTGAATCATCGTGAACGGTGATTCATCGTGTTCGGTGATTCATCGTGTTCGGTGATTCATCGTGAACGGTGAATCATCGTGAACGGTGATTCATCGTGAACTGTGAATCATCGTGTTCGGTGAATCATCGTGAACGGTGATTCATCGTGAACGGTGATTCATCGTGTTCGGTGATTCATCGTGAACGGTGAATCATCGTGTTCGGTGATTCATCGTGTTCGGTGATTCATCGTGAACTGTGAATCATCGTGTTCGGTGATTCATCGTGAACGGTGAATCATCGTGAACGGTGAATCATCGTGAACGGTGAATCATCGTGAACGGTAATTCATCGTGAACGGTGAATCATCGTGAACGGTGAATCATCGTGAACGGTGATTCATCGTGAACGGTGAATCATCGTGAACGGTAATTCATCGTGAACGGTGAATCATCGTGAACGGTGAATCATCGTGTAACGGTGATTCATCGTGTAGCGGTGACTCATCGTGTAACGGTGACTCATCGTGTAACGGTGACTCATCGTGTAACGGTGACTCATCGTGTAACGGTGACTCATCGTGTAACGGTGACTCATCGTGTAACGGTGATTCATCGTGTTCGGTGAATCATCGTGTTCGGTGAATCATCGTGTAACGGTGATTCATCGTGTTCGGTGATTCATCGTGTTCGGTGATTCATCGTGAACGGTGATTCATCGTGAACTGTGAATCATCGTGAACGGTGAATCATCGTGTTCGGTGATTCATCGTGAACGGTGAATCATCGTGTTCGGTGATTCATCGTGAACGGTGATTCATCGTGAACGGTGAATCATCGTGAACGGTGAATCATCGTGAACGGTGAATCATCGTGAACGGTGAATCATCGTGAACGGTGAATCATCGTGAACGGTGATTCATCGTGTTCGGTGATTCATCGTGTTCGGTGATTCATCGTGAACGGTGAATCATCGTGAACGGTGATTCATCGTGAACTGTGAATCATCGTGTTCGGTGAATCATCGTGAACGGTGATTCATCGTGAACGCTGATTCATCGTGTTCGGTGATTCATCGTGAACGGTGAATCATCGTGTTCGGTGATTCATCGTGTTCGGTGATTCATCGTGTTCGGTGATTCATCGTGAACGGTGAATCATCGTGAACGGTGATTCATCGTGAACTGTGAATCATCGTGTTCGGTGATTCATCGTGAACGGTGAATCATCGTGAACGGTGAATCATCGTGAACGGTGAATCATCGTGAACGGTAATTCATCGTGAACGGTGAATCATCGTGAACGGTGAATCATCGTGAACGGTGATTCATCGTGAACGGTGAATCATCGTGAACGGTGAATCATCGTGTTCGGTGATTCATCGTGAACGGTGATTCATCGTGAACGGTGATTCATCGTGTTCGGTGATTCATCGTGAACGGTGAATCATCGTGTTCGGTGATTCATCGTGAACGGTGATTCATCGTGAACGGTGAATCATCGTGAACGGTGAATCATCGTGTTCGGTGAATCATCGTGAACGGTGAATCATCGTGTTCGGTGAATCATCGTGTTCGGTGAATCATCGTGTTCGGTGATGGGTTTTGTGGTTTATTGAATTTACACTAGAAATAACTTATTTGCAAAGCTGAGATTTTAAAAAAATATTAATTTATTTTATTCTATTTTACCTTTAATTTTAAATAAATTTTTACAAAAAATAAATTTTACAAATTTTCTAAATATTTTAGACACCCGCATTTTACTTAATATTTAGTTTTTCTTTTTGTTCTTCCGCTAAGTATTTTTGGAGACAGTACCTAAAAATATTTTTTAATAATTTTTATTTTCTCGCGTCTAAAATTACTCTAATGTTGCCCACTCCTCCATCACTCAAAAATCCTGGTGATAAAATACTTGGTGTCAAAACAGTGAAGGTGCAATACTGTGGTGAACCGATGGGTATTTGAGCAAATGCTGTGAAGAAAATAATTTTTAAATTAAAAATAAGGGTTGTAAGTAGCCGGACCAAGACGAGTTCTCGAACAAAGATCTGGGCTATCGAGGATCGAGGTTTTTTGAGATCTCGATTCTCATATGACACTTATAGTCCGGTCTCTAGTCGGAAGAGGTCCTCTTTGGGTGCTTTTTGGACTTTAAGTCTCTGGGACTTCGAGTTACAGTTGACATATGCTTAGGCTATGTTTGTCTATTTTCTCTCAACTCTCAAAATTTAACTAGCCCTTTTGGCCCATCCAGATCTAGCAACTATACCTGATGAACTCGACGCCTACAGTCACCCGAAAAGTTTCCTTTGTTCTATAAAATAAATACCTGGACTCAACACCGTAAACGAAACAATAGTTGGTGTGAGCACACGAACTTCGAAAGCCTTTGGGTTTAAAATTTCCGCAACTACTAGTCTTGGTGAAAGAACATAGGCAATAAAAGCTCTAGGTGAGAGGATCTTTAAATTGAAATTTTATTTTAGAATGTTTTTTGGAGTTACTTTAGCATTGAAAGTTTGGGGACTGATTACTTCAACACGAAAAGCTTCGGGTGCTAATAGTTGTAATGTAAAAGCATTTGGTGATAATACACTTAGCATTGCGGCGCGAGGCGATAGTATGCTGGGTACAAATGCAAAAGGGCTGAGAACGTTGACCTTGAAAAAAAATTTTATTAAGGGGCATGTAAGAAGTATTTAGAAAAGTTGACTGTGAACTTTTAAAAAGCTCGTTGGTCTCGACTTACTCTTATTAAGTTTCCAGCAATGTTAGTTATTGAGCGTTTTGTACCTCCGGTACTTTTTTAAATCTTGGCTCCGATTCCTGAGCTATAGCTCCCTAATCCATACCCAGCTAGATCCTTAAGCCATACCCAGCTAACTCCCTGAACCATACCAAGTTTCCAGTACGTTTCAAACGAACTGGGAACCTTTATGTATGATTCCTTGTTTGTTAGCGAATTCCCATTATTTACCTATTAATTGTTCATCTTTTATTTGGTTCTTAAACCAACCAAGTTAATCATAACTTTAAAATTTTTTAAAAACTTACACCCCCAAAATCAGGCGTCAAAAGCTGTAAGCTAAAAGCCCTCGGCGATAGCGCAACTCTTCTCATTACTTTCCCATCATTCACTTGATTAACAAAAAGAAAAGGATCAAGAATTCTCATTTGTCCTAAACTTTCAATTTCCATGAAACGCTTCGTTCGATTTTTAATCAAATATTTTTTAAATTCATCTCCAACTTTATTGGTTAAATTGGGGTCGTTTTCATTAATTTTTGATAATTTTCTAATGTCTTCTTCAAGTACAGCTTCCAATTCATTTTCATCATCGCCTAACTCGTCTTCATTTATTTTTTGAAGAATTTTGGCTTAAATTTTTGAATGGACTTATAAATTTGTTAAAAAGGGACAGTAATACTTTGCCCATTCTCTCCTCCAGTAAGCATCATTTTAGACTGCTCCCTACTCAAAAAAGTATATCCCCTCAATTCAAGCTCATCCTTCTGCCTTTTATCATGCCAATTTGAAAGTTTAGTAAATCTTCTATCAATTTCCTCCAAACGTTCAACAGCTGGAAGAATTTTGGTTTCAATTTCGTTTTTTATATTTTCTAGTTGATTTAATAAATGCTTCAAGGTGGAAGCAGCTCCACTCATTTGTAAAAGTAATTCGAGCCAAGGAAGTGTTTCTTGTTTGTTGTTGGTAAATACGAGCTTAAATGAGAGATTTTAATGAGTTCAGTAGCGATTTCTAGGACCGAACATTTTCCAGGAGATAAGGCCAGGAATGCAGCTCATACCCAAGTCCCTAGAACACTCAAAACCCTAGAACACTTGAGAGTTCCCTAGAACACTCAAGAAACCCCTGACATATTCTGTCTCCTTTTTCGAAATTTTATTTTCATATCTGTGGATATCAGAGGATATCAACGATATTATCTGTATCCACAAACATGTTTATTCTTGAACATCCAAAAAATTTTGACTATTACCCTACCCTAGGCTTGTATTTTCGCATAAACCTCAAGATAGTCGAAACCAAGTCGAAACCTAACTAAGAGCTTCAAAACCCACTAGAACGTTTTATAAAATTAATAAAAAGACTTGCATCTAGTAAGGATTGTATAGAGTAATTCCCTTCCTTGTGGAAGGATAAAAATGTTGGAGACATCAACATTTCTTCAATTTTTGGGTTTCTCTTGTTCGTATTTTCCGGCACAATATTCAACAATCGAGGAGAGAGTATTTCCATGTTATCCAGATGCATGGTATTTTGTAATTGAGATTTGACGGTGTTAAGTAGGGGATCTGGTTGTACTGATTCTGTTGCTAAATTTACAGGCAATCCAAATTTTTTCATTAAACTGAAATTTTGGAATTATAATTCTGTTTTTATTATCTGATATTTTTTCTTGTATTCTGATTTTTTGGGAATTTTCTGTTCTGATACCAGTAAATAGATTTTCATTTTCAGATTTTCAGTTTTCTGGTTTTGTATTGTTCTGGTTTTCTGGTTTTTTGATGTTCTGGCTTCTGAAGTTCTGATTTTTTCTGGTTTTTTGGGGTTTGTATCATTCTCGTTTTGATCTTCTGGGTTCTGGTTTTTCTGATTTTTCTTTATTATTCTGCTTTCTATTCTCATTTTTTCTATAATTAAGCACCTGTTTAACTGTTCCTCCTTCAATTTAATGAATCTATTGCAACGCTCCACTTTATCATAAAATCGTTTAACCTCCAAAAGTTGTTTTACATTTGGATATTTTTCGAACTTTTTCTCGTCAATATTTTTAAAAATTTTAAAGCTTTTTTCTTCTCGTTTATTTCTATTTTTTAATTTTTCCCTTCTCAATATTTTCATTTTTCTTTTGAATATCTCTATCTTTGATTCTTTATTAGCTTCTTTATTTTTTAATTTTATGCCGAAAAATCTGAATTTAGAATTTAATTAAATACAGACGAGCCTCACTTTTGGATAGCACTTTCTAGCTTTTAATGAGGGTTGGAGGTATTTAAATTGGAGGTATTCTTTTGGAAAAGCTGAGGGATGAAAGATATCTCCTTTGAAAGATGTCCACATTTTATTTTTTATTATTTACTTCTACTTAGTATCTTTAAATTGAGGAGTACTAGAGGTATCTAAAAGTGATTTTAGTACTGTAGCAAGGGATTTAGGCACCATAAAAATCCCCGGTTTCTGGAATCGGATCTCTTGACTTATTCATCCCTTCAGGAAAAAATTGTACACCTTTTCCTATTCGAACGCTGCTTCATCCTCATTAACCTCGCCTCATTTATTTTCTTTCCATTTATTTTTTCTTGCATTAATATTTTAAAAATAGTAAAATTTCCTCTATTTCTTGGATAATTTGGTTGAAAAATATTTGACGGATTTTTAATTAAATTTTGATTAAATTTAAATATTTGTGTCCATAGAGGCCATTCTTGATTATTTAAATAATTAATTTTAACATTCTCTTTCAATTTTGTATTCTTCCTTTCTTGAACATGCCTAAAATTATCCCGAACATTAAACAGAGAAACCATACATTTTGCTAATAAATTTAATTTTCCTTGAGTATTAATTACACATTGACGGAAAACAATACGTTCTGTGTGGGGCAGTGAGCGTAAAATAAAGTTGGCTTTGGCCTGGAATTTTTTGAAATTTTTTTTGAGATTAAATCTAACCTTAAATAAAGCAGAGACTGCAACCTGGAAAAAATAAATATCTAAGTTAGTTGGATCCATCCTAAGAATTTCTGTTTTCTGATTATTCTCTCCTTTCAAGGCATAGACGAATCTACAGTACCATAATTGAGAGAGAAGGGAGAGAATTGAAATTATTATAAATATTTTAAGCATTTTAATAAGGCAAGAAAATTCTGAAATTTCCAAAGTTTAATAAAATTATTAAAAGGGAGCAGGCCAAGTTATCCACGCTAAAACACCGCACGCCAAGTCTACAAAATTCTATAGCTTCGAGGAATGTTGTTCTAGCAAAGGGGATTTCGAAAAGATTTTCTAAAGCTATTTGTTTGACCAAAACGGAGGAGAATTTTGGGCGTCAGAAGAACCCAACATCTTCATCCTTCCATATCACTACCTCAAGACATCCCTGTTGTTGGCGTACCCTTAGGTTGTTGGAGTACCCTTAAGTTTTATTAGAGTACCCTTGGAGTACCCCTAAGTTTTATTAGAGTACCCTTGGGATAACCTCGGGTTTTATTAATTTTAAAAATCAGAAATTGAAAGATTAAAATCGAAAAAAATTTTTAAATAAATTTAAATATTTATTTAAACCTCCAAAATTGAAGATGTATCTAAATGAGGATTTAAGGAAAAATTCTATTAAAATTTTTTTTGAAAGAATACAAGTTTATTTAGATATTTGTTCATTAATTATTTTGTACTTCTTCCGCAACTTCTCCCCAACAGTTATTTTTTTTTATTTTTAGAGTGAACGCTTATATTTCATTAAATTCTGGTTAATTAAAAGAAGATTACCGCTAAACAGTTTATTTTAAAAAATAATTGAATTATTAATTACTTAAGTATTGAAGAAGATTAAAAAACAAGATTTTAAAGCGAGAAAAAAATTAATAAAAAAAATTAAATAAAAATTCAAGTTCATCTCCTCGCGCGACCGCTAAGTATTCTTGGAGACAATATCTTAAAAGGAAAAAAATTTTTGGAGACAATATCTGAAGAAAAATGTTACTCGAATGTTGGAGATCCCTTCATTTAGAAATCCGGGTGAGAGAATATTAGGGCTCAATACTTGTAGAACATAGTTTTGTGAAGAAGCGATTGATACTTGTAAAAGTGCTGAAAAATATTTTTAAATTTGATGAGAATTTTTATCTTTATCTCTAGCCCTCTCTTGGACTCAGTTTTTTCAAGTACCACAATTCCTTCGAACCCGAACCGAGGCTTCGAGAGCCCGAACCGAGGATTTTCCGGAACTGATTATCCGATTTTCGGTTTAGTTCTGAATACCCAAAGATTTTTCTAAGGTTTTCCAGGAACAAACAACCCTGATTACAAAGATTGTTAATCATCTTTTAGCCTTCCAAGTCATCAGAATTTAGAGTTAAGGAGGCAGACTTCTATTAGAATTTATTTTCCTACTGATTCCATCAGAGCCTTTTCGATTAATATTAATTACCTGGACTAAGCACTACAAATGAAAGAAATGTAGGGCTAAGAACACGCATTTCAAGAGACTTCGGTGATAAAATTTCTGTAATTAACATCCTTGGGGACAAAACATAAGCAGAGAATGCTCGAGGGGAGAGGACCTTTAATAAAAATTTTAAGTAATTTTTTAATTTCTTCGGTTACCTTTGCATTGAATGCACGTGGGGCGAGTATGTCTGTAGCAAAAGCTTGTGGTGTTAATAATTCCATAGTAAACGCGTTTGGTGATAATATATTTGCAATGGCTGCGCGTGGGGATAATACACTGGGGACAAATGCTGAAGGGCTCAGAACGGAGAGCTAAAAAAGATTTTTTTACATGGAAGCTTAGATGGTTAGGGTCATGATTTTAGACAAGTTCCAATGGCTTGGATGAGGGATGTCATGTGTTATCCAAAAACCCGACTTCTTTTGACCTGAAACCCGTTCCTAAGTCGTTCGTAAGTACATTTTGACATCCTAGTTCCGGACCACATCGGAACAATTTTTCGATGATTTCATGTGTTCGATGGTTCCGGACTAAAGCCCCAAAAACAACAAGTTGATTACTTACACTCCCAAAATCTGGAGATAAAATCTGTGCACTAAAAGCCTTTGGTGATAAAGCAACCCTCCTCAATACAGCTCCATCCTTCACTTGATTGGCAAACAGGAATGGATTTAAAATTCTCATTTGTCCAAAACTTTCAGTTTTAATAAAACGTTTTGCTCTATTCGAGTAGTTTTTGGCGAAAAAATATTTTTTAAATCCATCTTCAAGACTATTGCCATTCTCAATTTGTGAGATCAATCGAATATCTTCTTCTAGAAATTCATCTATTTCGTTTTCATCATCACTCAATTCCTCGTTTATTTCTTGAAATATTTTGTCTTAAAATACGGAAGAAAATTAAATTTTTATTTAATCGGGCCTCGTTATAAGATAAACTCATTACCAGATGCACCTCAAGTAGGATTCATTTCTAGAATTTGGTTAGCCAATGGACGAGGGGACGAGATGCTTGATGCAAGGGAAAGATACTGGATGCGTGGGAAGGATACTGGATGCGGAGGAGAGATACTGGACGAGGGAGAAAGATATTGGGTGATTGAGTGAGATACTGGTTAACTGGGTAAAGGGGAGAGATTATGGATGAGGATGAAATACGGGGATATGATAGGGAGATATTGTATGACAGTGAGAGATATTGAATCTGGGGGAGATACTGGATGATGTGAGCGATACTCACACCTAATCTACGCTCTTTGTAAGATACCATTTTTTGTCCCAAATGAGCAACTTTTAGTGATTACCTCCTTCATTCAACACTCTTCCATTAATTATCATTTTAGACTGCTCCCTACTCAAAAAAGTGTACCCCCTCAATTCAAGCTCATCCTTCTGCCTTTTATTATGCCAATTCGAAAGTTTAGTAAATCTTCTATCAATTTCCTCCAAACGTTCAACAGCTGGAAGAATTTTGGTTTCAATTTCGTTTTTTATATTTTCTAGTTGGTTTAATAAACGCTTCAGGGTGGCAGCAGCTCCACTCATTTGTAAAAGTAATTCGAGCCAAGGAAGTGTTTCTTGTTTGTTGTTGGTAAATACGAGCTTAAATAAGAGGGATTTTTAAACGTGAGCTGACAAGAACGTCGGATCGGGGTTCGAGTTAAAAAGTCTGTGTATCGGAGTTTGTGTAAGCCGACTATATCTGGCTAGTAGAAGCTTAGGCTATAGGTAATATTTTTATAGTGGGAGGGGTAGCTAAAGGAAGGTTCAACTGTATCCCTCTTGAAAAAACCTACATTTAACAAGTATTGAATAGAAAAATTCCCCTCTTCATGGAAGGATAGAAAAGTTGGAGACATTAACATCTCTTCTAGTTGTGTACTGCTTGAATTTCTCGTTTTTGGAATTTCGGGTATAATAGACAACAATTTCGGAGAGAGTATTTCCACTTGGTCAAAATGAACGGTATTTTGAATTTGTGTTTCTGCAGTGTTAAGTAATAAATTGCGTTGATAGGATTCTGATGAGAGATGAACAGGCAATCCGATGTTTTGGAATAAGCTTAATTTGTGTTTTTAGTATTTTTAGTGTTTTTCTGATTTTTTTCTGAATCTTTTATTTTCTGATATTCTGGTTTTTTAATTTCTGATTTTTTTTATTTTTTCTGATTTTCTGATTTTGTATTTCCCTGATTTTTCCAATACTGAATACTTCCAGAGAGGCTTTCCTGATTCTGGTTTTTACATTTCTGGTTTTTTTATTTTCTGATTCCTGGCTTCTGATTTTCTGATTGGTTTTCTCTATATTTTTCTTTATTATTCTGATTTAATTCTGATTTTTTAAAGCTTAAATAAACATACCTGTTTAACTGTTCCTCCTTCAATTTAATAAACCTATTACAACGCTCCACCTTATCATAAAATCGTTCAATTTCCAAAAGTTGCTTTACATTCGGATATTTTTCGAGTTTTTTCTCGTAAATATTTTTTAAACTAAAATTTTCTTTTCCGCTTATTTTTCGTTTACTTCTCATCCGCTTATTTATTTTATATATTTTTTTACTCCTCAATATTCTCATTTTTGCCTCATTATTAAATTTATTTCGATTATTTTCTTCTTTTAAATTTGTAAAAACTTCAAAATTCCGTTGAATTTTAGAGAAATTTTCTTCATGAATTTTTGAGGAGATTTTCGAGGGATTTTTTGATTTAATTGAAGCTAAGTCAGCTAATTCATTCAATTCTTCAAATTTAAATATTTGTGTCCATAGAGGCCATTCTTGATTATTTAAATAATTAATTTTCAAATTCTCTCTAAATTTTGTGTTCTTCCTTTCTTGAACATGCCTAAAATTATCCCGAACATTAAATAGAGAAACCATACATTTTGCTAATAAATTTAATTTTCCTTGAGTATTAATTACACATTGACGGAAAACAATACGTTCTGTGTGGGGCAATGAACGTAAAATAAAGTTGGCTTTGGCCTGGAATTTTTTGAAATTTTTTGGAAATTTTTTTGAATTAAAATCCGACCTTAAATAAGGCAGAGACTGCAACTTGAAAAAAATAAATATCTAAGTTAGTTGGATTTATATTAATTATCTCTTGAGTTCTGTTAATTTTACTGTTGTGAATGAAGGGAGCACAATACTTAATTTTTAGGATAAGTGTTAGAATAATCATAAATTTAGTACAATTAAGAATTCTATACATGACTACCGGCTGGTTTTGGATTATTATTTTCGATAGAATTTTATTCAGAATTTTTTTATTTTACTTATTTTTCTGATCAAAAAAGGAAATGTAAATAAATTCCAAAAAAATATAGGTTGAGTTCTTTAAATGAACATATTTTCTTCTTCCGCAACTTTCCTCGATTTGTTTTTATTTTTTAAAGAGGAACACTTGTACTATATCTAGAATAAAACAAACAAATGTGCCATCTAGCCTTTCGTTTTTTTAAAGCAGCTTAGGAAAACCCCTGATATACTACAGCTTTTCTAGAGTACGCTTTTTAGATTTGATTTGCCATTTGTTGAGATGAGTGAGATATGTATGTTAAGCTCTACCTCCATACACGTTAGTGTTCAACTACCGTATTTACTCGATTAATTCCCCCATGAAATTATTTTTTCAACCCATCCATGGCATGGGGAATTAAGCGAGAGAGGGGAATTATTCAAGGGAAGGGAATTAATCGAGTAAATATGGTAATTTTAGTTTACGAGCTTTTTGGCCGCGCGAGTTACGAGCTTGTTAGCCGCGCTTCCTCACTCTCTCTCGTATTCCTTTTCCCTCTCAAGTTCAACTGAAAAATCTTGCAAGATTCGGTATCTTTCTAAATTTATTTTCTTCTAAATTTCTGTCTAAAAAATTTCTGTAAATAATTAAAAATAAAGCTAACATATTTTCTTCGTTTTAACTATATTTTACTTAATAAATTTTAAATCCAATCTCCGTTATTTTTTCATAAAAATATTTTTGTTTTTAACACATTTTTAACAAGAAATTCAATTTCCCGTGTATATAGCGCATTTTTTGGCATTTCCCCCCTCATTTTTAGGCCCTTCCTTCCCCAAAAATATTTTTATATACATATTTAATATTCATCCATCTAATATTTCTGGCTAATTTAATTTTCATTTGTATACACGAAAAATATGTTAAAAAACGTAGGAAACGTTAGTGTTAGTTAAAATATAATTATTATTTTGTCGGGTAAATTGAAGAATAAATTTAATTTTGAATGTTAAACAAACATTTTTTTGACTTTTTTTATATAAAAATTTTTTTATGTTTTACTTAAGTTTCATGGATATTCCATAAAATTAAAATAAAGGCAGGAGATCAAGACTTTTCTTGGATTTTTTCGGTCTTGTGGTTAGTGGTTGGTGGTTGTGGTCTTGGGGGGGGGGGGGGGGGGGGTGTGTATGGTGTGGTGGTGGTGTCTTAGTCTTGGGTCCTGGTCTTGAGTCTTAGAAAATTTTCGGTCTTGTTATTGTTGTCTTATTCTTGTTCTTATTGTTCTTCTTATTCTTGTTACAACAACAACCTTATTGTTGTTGTCCTAAGGAATTAACTAAACTTCAGAATCTAAGATTTCTTATCAATCTATTTTAAAATTAATTTAATCAAAGCTTCATCTTACTGTCTCTAAATTTCCTTCCCCTAAAAAAAGTAAATAAATACTATTTCAAAAAAAAATTTAAAAATCTTCAATTTAATTAATTGTCTGGTTAAAATCTACAAAAAATTTTAATAAAAAAATTTTTTAAAGGTCAGGAATTTGTGTAAAAATAAATCCTTTTTTGCTCTATACAAATTCTTTAGCTCATATAAATAATTTTAAAAAGAAAATTTTAATTTTCTGAATTGCTTCGGAAAAAAATTATTTTTTTAATAAATTTATATTTCAAAAATCAGTTTTTTAATTTAACAAATTAATAATCTTCTTATTTTTTCAGCAAAAATTTTTAAAGAAAAGCTTTTCTTTCTTCTTCCTGCCATTTTTTCTAGTAAATATTTAAATTAAATTTTTAAAATATTAATTTATAAACAATAAACATTTGCTCCAATAAAACATCACTATTAATAGTTTTTGTTGTTAAGTTAATTAAAACTTGTTTTTTGCAACTTCTTTAAAAGCTTTTTTCGTTAAATTCACTTAAAACTTGTTACAACTTATGTAGAACTTGTTTTCAACTTATTAGTAGCATGTTTTCAACTTGTTTCCAACTTATTTACAGCTTGTTTGTAACCTGTTTTCAACTTGTTTTGTGCTCACGTTTTAAGTTTATTTCCAACTTGTTTGCAACTTTTTCCCAACTTGTTTCGAACTTTTTCCCAACTTTATTCCAACTTTATTCCAACCTTTTTCCAACTTGTTCCAACTTTTTTGCTAACGTTTTCAAGCTTATTTTCTTTTACTACAATAAAATAATAATAAAATAAAGCAGCAAAATTTATTCATTTAAAAAATGAAATCTGAAACTCGCCATAACTTTAAAATTTATTTATTTTATTTTTACCATTTTTGCCAATTAAAAACATACACAAGTCTATTTTATAGGATTGACGTTTTAGAGAAGCTTTTCTTTTTTTAATTTTTGTCGCCTGGAAATATTATTCCCCAAAGTCTCCCCTTTCCTCTAAATTATTTTTACTCCTTTTGATGAATTTTTACTTTTAAATGTTTGTTAAAAATTATTTTTTTAATTTTGCCAATTCTTTTATTTTATTTTTTTTATATTTAATTTAAAAATTAGAGAGGAAATGAAAAAAATAATAAAGTCTGTTAAATATATCTTTACTTTTTTTAATAAAAACGACTTTAAGTTATTATTATTTAATTTTAAAATTAATTTTGTGAGGTAATTTTTGATGATTTTGTATTTCATAAAAATATTCCAGTTTTCTGTTGTTGTTATTTTTTATGTATAACTTGTCTCTGCAAAGTTTATTTTATGTAAGTTTATTTATTTGAAGTTTTATTTAAGTTATAAAAATAAACTTGTTTGAAAACAAGTTCATTTTTTCAAGTTTATTATTTAAGTTTGTTTTTACAAGTTTGTTTTAAATCAAGTTTAATTTTTCAGGTTTAATTATGTTTTTTGTTCTAGTTTAGTGTTTTTAAAACAACTTGTTTGTAATCAAGTTTTTTTTTGTTTTTAAACAAGTTTATTTTTTCAAGTTTTATTTTTAATAACATTATTTTTTAAGTTTATTTTCAAGTTTATTTTTAGAAAGTTTATTTTTCATAACAAGTTTATTAATATTGTTATTTTATTTTAATTTTTGCATTTGTTTTTCACACACAATTAAATAGATTGTCATTTCACGCTATTTTAATAAAATTTATTTAAATGGGAATTTTATTTATTTTTTATCTAATTATATTTTTAAACTTTCCCTTTTTTGTATTTTTATATTTTTTATTTGAAGCTATATTTGACATATTTTTTAATTACAGTCGAGACTCGATCACAGATGGCTTGGGTTACTTTAAACTCGGCACCTGACACATAAACTTGGTTTTCAATCCGAAACCAGATCTGGAGAAATTTTTGAAAACTTGATCCAATTTTTTCTCAACCCAGTCCATCTCTCCATCTCCGGACTCGATATGGCGAACTTGAAGAGAATCGAAGCTAAGGTTCGTTAAATCGAGGTGTTTGATTGTATAGGTTTATTATTGTATTTTATCTGTATTTTCCAGTATTTTTGTATTTTCCCAAAAATTTATTTATTTTTCTCCCCCAACTTTTCTTTTAAATTCCCCCTCTCGCGCGAACCAAAAAAGTTTTTATTTTTAATTTATTTATATTTTTCACTAGAAAAAAAATTTTTTTCCATTAATTCCCATGGCATAGGAGGAGGAGACGTCCACCCAATTTACATTTCAAATTTTTATATTTTTCCCTTTTTTAATAATTTAGACTTTTTGTTTATTATGCTCTCTCATTACTTTTAATATAAAATTCATTTTTAGCTTTTTAAAGGGGAGAGGGGGGAGGAGGGGAAGAATATTTTAAGAGAAAAATTTTTTTTTATTTGAATTTTTATTTTTCAATGGCATTTTATCCCAAAAACTTTTCCTCTTTTTACACATTTCTTTAAAAAAAATAATGGCACTCCATTAATTATATATTATTTACTCATTATTTATTTTTAACTTTAAAAGAGGGAAAGTGTGAAAGGAAAAATATAAAAAAAATTTTTTAATGGCTTAATATAGGCAGGAGAATTTTATAAACTTGCGGAAAACACATGCGGACAATACAGTATTAGAAGTGTCTTAATATAGGACCTCAAGTTTACATACACCCAATAGTATATTGATATGCCACAGAGTGGGTGAGATGTCTAAAATGATTGAGAGACTTGTTGACAATTCCGAAGGGTTTTATTCTGTCAGACCTCGATTCTACATAAACCCAATATTAGGTACACCTCTATTTAATAGTGATGTTCGAGAGTTAAAAAAGCCGAGAGTATCAGTCCAAGTAAGAAAATACTCATTATAGGATAAAATTTTCAGACCAAAAATTTTTCAAATAGAAGAAAAAAGACAGAAGTAAATTGAAGATAGAAAATGCTTTTATAAAAACCCTTTTGCAACACATAAAATATTTCTTTTTAAAATATTCAACCGGTATATTACTCAGTGTTTTCTACTCCGCTATCGTGGAGCACAGGGTTGTGGAGGGCATAGGACAGTTAAGCATTTATTCATATTAACCTCATTGCGAGGTTACGGTGGATTAGGAGCGCTAGCCTGTGGCGGCGTAATTAAAAAGTTTCTGTTGAACGTGTTCTCACGTTGAACTCGAGGCCAGGAGGAAACACTCCTGATAAAGGAGTCTAAAAACTCTTAAGGAGAGTTTTGTGGAGGATAGCAGGCTGTTGATTAATATGCTATAATTGAGGTTGGAGGAAGCCCTAAGAATAATATGCTTAATAATGTACCGATGTTCGATGAAGCGACTGCGCTCCTAATTTTTTTAAATCATTTTTGATCTAATTGCTGAATTTATTGGAAAAGCGAAAAGCAACCCCATAAAGTAAGGGTTTAACATACTCTCTCCCTGCCAATTCTTAGTAAAATACCCCAAATCCTTATTAAATTTCACTCAGGAACATTCCACTTTTTCCCAATTTTATAAACTACAATTTAAAAGAACCGGAAGCTTCTATGGTCCGTAATCCTTAGTCACACACAGCCCTAATTCCTATCTTAAATTTAAAAAAATTTTTTAAATTCAAAACGGCTCACTTTCATTTTTAAAATAAAAAAAAGGTAGGAGGAGCTTTAAATAAATAAAATTTTAATATCACACACTTTTTAATATATTTAAAAATTTTTAATATATTTAAAAAATTCATTTAAATAATAAAACTTCCGGTTCTTTTAAAAAGGCTTTGGCTTCCCCCCACAGATTACATTTAAAATAACACAATTTTTTACATCTAAATTTAAAATTAATAACCATACATTTTATTGCGATTTTTAATAAAAAAAATTTTTAAAGGCAACATTTTTTTCTTTTTTTAAATTTTTTAATAATGACTAAAAATGTCTCCGGTTGGCGGATAATAAAATCTGTTTAAATTAAAAAATATTTTTAGTGGTAAAATTATTAAATTTTGTCAATGACAAAAATGGCCTTATCAGTCAATCTTGGGTACAATTTTAAAAAAGGGGGTCTGATTTGAAAAAAAATTCGGAGCGCAGTCGCTTCATCAGACATCGGTACATTATTAAGCATGTTATTTTTAAGGTTTCCTCCAACCTCAGTATAGCATATTAGTCAACAGCCTGCTATCCTCCACAAAACTCTCTTTAAGAGTTTCCTCCTCTGGCCACCAATGATTCACCGTTCACGATGAATCACCGGAACACGATGATTCACCGAACACGATGAGTCACCGGACTACAATTTCCACCTTAACCTCACATAAAGGCTGATGTGAATAAATGCTCAACTGTCCTATGTTCTCCACAACCCTGCGCTCCACGATATCTAAGCAGAAAGGATCGAGTAATATACCGGTTGAATATTTAAACAAGAAATATTCGATGGGTTGCAAAAAGGGTACATTAAACTACATTCTATTTCCTATTCTCTTTATATTTGATTATTTTAATTGAAGGATCACTTAGAATCTCCTCCATCTGTGGGCAACCAAATTAAAAATTGAACGTAAAATTGGATATACAGTCGGACCTTACTTTTGTTACCCATTTTATATACTCTCCCTTTAGTGTACGTTTTATTACTTACTCTTCCTCATTTTATGATAACCCTTATTATACTGTACGATTTTTTAACCACAATGTCTTATGGCTTTTCTTCGCTTCCGTCTTCCGCAGACTGTGTTAGGAATTTTGAAAATTGCTTTTACCCGAACTTTCGTACAGGCCTTTTTTACCTCATACCTCGTACTCGTACCTGTCCTATTTTTGGCCTCGTACCTGTCCTATTTTTGGCCTCGTATTTTTAGTGGTAAAATTATTAAATTTTGTCAATGACAAAAATGGCCTTATCAGTCAATCTTGGGTACAATTTTAAAAAAGGGGGTCTGATTTGAAAAAAAATTCGGAGCGCAGTCGCTTCATCGAACATCGGTACATTATTAAGCATGTTATTTTTAAGGTTTCCTCCAACCTCAGTATAGCATATTAGTCAACAGCCTGCTATCCTCCACAAAACTCTCTTTAAGAGTTTCCTCCTCTGGCCACCAATGATTCACCGTTCACGATGAATCACCGGAACACGATGATTCACCGAACACGATGAGTCACCGGACTACAATTTCCACCTTAACCTCACATAAAGGCTGATGTGAATAAATGCTCAACTGTCCTATGTTCTCCACAACCCTGCGCTCCACGATATCTAAGCAGAAAGGATCGAGTAATATACCGGTTGAATATTTAAACAAGAAATATTCGATGGGTTGCAAAAAGGGTACATTAAACTACATTCTATTTCCTATTCTCTTTATATTTGATTATTTTAATTGAAGGATCACTTAGAATCTCCTCCATCTGTGGGCAACCAAATTAAAAATTGAACGTAAAATTGGATATACAGTCGGACCTTACTTTTGTTACCCATTTTATATACTCTCCCTTTAGTGTACGTTTTATTACTTACTCTTCCTCATTTTATGATAACCCTTATTATACTGTACGATTTTTTAACCACAATGTCTTATGGCTTTTCTTCGCTTCCGTCTTCCGCAGACTGTGTTAGGAATTTTGAAAATTGCTTTTACCCGAACTTTCGTACAGGCCTTTTTTACCTCATACCTCGTACTCGTACCTGTCCTATTTTTGGCCTCGTACTTCGTACATAGTATGTGTACGAATTTTGGTACGAACTTCCAATTTCCGTTTATTTGACCCTTTCTCTCCGCTTTTTGAAATTCGAGGGCCCCATCCCTGATTGTAACCTAGATGAGATCGCATCGTAATTGAAATAGAGTCCTTTCCCTTTATTAAAATAAAACTTCAATTTAATATTCATTTAAAAATTTGTTTTTATTTTTTTTAAATTTAATTAGTAATATTTTTCAATGTCAATTTTAATATTCCCACCTTTGCTAATTTTAGGCTCGCCATTTAAAAATAAATTTTATTAAAAACAATTAAAGACAGGTGCAAAATTTTGCTTTTAAATTTATTTTATTTTTAGAAAAATATTTTTTTATTTGGCATTTTTACTTTTTTAACATTAAATTAATTTTTAAATAATTTTATTTTTTTAATTTTATTTAATTTGTGCAAATTTTTAAAATAAAAATTTTAATAGAGGGGATGTTTAGGCGCGGAAATATAACCCAGCCTTTTTTGTTTTAAATTTGTAATTTTATTTTTATATTTCCAGAGTCAGAGCCAAGACCCTAAAGCCAAGACCCCCCAGAGCCAAGACCCCCCTCAGAGCCAAGACCCCCTTGCTCCATCCGGCTCCGGAGCTCTAGAAGAGACCAGACTAGATGGCTTCAGCTCTGGGCCATCTAGGCCTCTCTGGGGCCAAACTAGATGGCTTCAGCTCTGGGCCTTTGGGCCTCTCTGGCCTTGCCAAGCCAGCTGATCGCTTCAGCTCTAGGGCCTTCTTCTAGAGCTATATAAAAATTCAAGTCTGGTTTTAGATCGGGGTTTCCTCTTCAGCAGTTTTTCGGCTCCTCTCCTGCTCCAGCAACTCGAGGAGATAGGGGTAGCTCTCAAGGAACTCAAGGAGGTGGGGGAATTTTGAAAAGTTTGCTTATTAATTTTCCTAAGTCATAGCTCAGCTCTAGCTCCATCTTAAGCGTCTAACTCTGCCTTGCACGCCCAATGCCCAATTTTATTTTTACAAATATTTCTCGAATTATTTAAATAAAAATTCAAAAAAATTTTTCTCCCATCCTTTAAGCAATAAAAATTATTTTTTTTAATTTTTTAATATTCCAATTAAATATTCCATTTTTCTTAAAAATGCCGTCAAAAAAAACTTTTTTTTTATTTTCTTCCTCATTTTCAATTCTCCACACGCCACTTACCGTAATTTTTATTTTTCAAAAACCTTTTTGGCTTTAAAAATAAATTCACACAAATTTCACACTTTTTTTCATTCTCTTTTAAAAATTTTTTTTATTTTCAGAGTGCTCGTCTGCCCACAGTTTTTTTTCTTTTTTATTTCCTCTTCTTTTTTAAACCGCCCAATGAGAGAATAGGGGCAAAATTAAAATAAAATTTTTTTAAAAAGAATTTTTGTTTGACGTAGCTACTATATTATTGTAGTATTTTTAAACTGGAGTTTAAAAATAGAAAAAAAATTATTAGGAAGCTTTTTTAGGATTTTAAAATAATTTTAGACTAGGCTAAACTACAGGGGATTGTAGAAGATAATTTTAACTTAGAGGCTTAGGAAAATTTTTAAAAATTTTCCGAGTTGGTCTCTAATTGATACCATAGTTGTAGAGCTTCTGTTTTTGTTTCCAGAGATTTTCAGCCTCTCTTCCCACTTTTTTTGAAATCATTATATTTTTTTGTCTAGAGACTGCGAATTAGATAAATTGTACCCTGAAAGCTTATGCTTTATAAAAAATTTCGCGTTAAAAAAATTTTTCCGAGAATGATTCCAGTGGTTGTGAAGCTCCCCATCTCTTGTTTTCCCCACCCTTTTTTCAGATTTCCAAAAATTTTTTAAAAATTATTTTTTATATTTTATTAAATGTGAGAATGATCCATTATTCTTATCAATTATTACACTTATCATAAAAATTTTTTTTTATTTGAGCCCCTATATTTTTAAGTATTTGTCTTCTACTTTTCAATCGTTATTCGATTATTTAAAATTTTTTTTAGAATTTTTAAAATATAAATTTTAATAACGCCTCGAGTATCCCTATTAAAAATTAAAATAATATTATAGGCTTTACTAACTCCTCATTTTATATTTTTTATTTTTAGTTGGGGCAACTACAAGCTATTTGCAAATTGGCCAAATTTAAATAAATTTTTGTGTTAAACGACTATTATTAAAATAATAAAAATGAAATAAATTTTTAAGGCTTCCAAATCCTAAAATATTAAAATTATTTCCTCTTTAACTCTCATTAAAATTAAAAATAAAATTGTGAGGAAATTTATTACTGTTTTAAAATTAAGAATTATTAAGAATTAAACAACTCTATAAATATTATTAAGTACCGAAAGGTATCGATGGACGTTTCCTCATATCTTTATATCAGGGGTGTGCGAGTTTCGCGTTTTGCGTTTCTCCTTTCGCGGATTTTCGCGTTTTTTGGACTTTCGCGTTTCGCGTGTCGCTTTTTTAAATTTACTTTCGCGTTTCGCGTTTCACTTTTTAAATTTAATTTCGCCTTTCACGTTTCGCGTTTCGCTTTTTAAAATCCGTTTCGGCACACCCCTGCTTCATTTATCCTCCTATCCTATCCTCACGTATCTTCACTGGATATTGATCCCCTATCAAGATTTGCTTATACTCGTGTAAGGATGGCGGATCCGACAAAGGACAGGATATCTTAAAATTTTGGTTTAGACATTGGATCCGGATATCAGAAAATTTCCCAGGATCAGCCAACCTTATACCCAAGTGCCTTTATGTTTTTATGTATTCTAGTTAAATTCACTTGCAAAATTGAATTTAATTTAGTCTATTTTCTTTATTTATGTAAAAAAACACCTTCCCACAACCTTGTAAATTTTATTTATTTTTTTCAAAAATTATTTTTCTATTTATTCCGCGCATTTTTTAAAATTATATATTATTTTTTCTTCTATTTTTGCACACAATTTTTTTCATTATCATTTTTTATATAAATTTTTTAAAATTATTTTTGCGGCTCTTTTTTCCAATTTTCTCTTTTTTTTTTCAAAGAAAATTTCCTCCTTTTTTACTTTTAAAAAAATAAAAAAAAAAAATAAAAATAAAATTTTATACAAAAAAAATTCGTTTGTTAAATGGCGGGGACAGAAAGAAAAAAAAAGTGAAAAGGGAGAAAATATAGAAATTATTTTTTAATAAGAAAAAAAATTAATTTTTCTATCTATCTTTTTTGGATTTGGCAAAAAAATTGGGGAAAATTAGTAAGAAAATGAGAAAATAAAAAAAATTTTTCATAAGTCAAATGTCCAAAATTAAAATACAGTTATGCGCTGGACCTTCCCGGTCCAGGCACCTTCAGAGCGCCGTATGTTTGTGGGGGAATTTGGGTAGGGGAGGCGCAGAGGACTAATTTAAATAGTTAAAAGAATAGTTCATAATATTTATTTCCATTTAAAATACAATTAAATGGGTAGTGTTTTGATAAGGGATAATATAATAAAAGAGGATTAATTATATGGACATTAAATCGGGACTTGGATAAACTGAATTGAATTGAACTGAAGATGAGGATATAATTAAGTGGTTAAATAGAGGGAATAGTGGGTGGGATATAAGAAAGTTGATCGGACAATGTGTCTGGGAAAGATGGGAGGAAGTGTATAGGAATGGAATTTGTAAGTTGTTGACAAAGGGATAAATGTAATTGTGATTAATGTTGGGAACGGAAGGTGAACAATAATTGAGAAGAAAAGAGATAAAGTGTAAAGATAGGCTGGGAAGTAATAAATATAAAATAAATATAAACAGCTATGGGAAATATGGTCGGGGTCGGGACTTGATGAAAAGGGCAAGTATCGAGTCTCGAGTCCGGGGGTAACATCTCCCTGCCGCCAATAAGCGCGACCCTGCGCTTATAGATTGTTGGTTGGTTTTTTTGGAGGGGAAGATTGAGTCTGATGGTGGTTTTTTAGTCCGCCATTAAAATTTTCCTAATTTTCAGTGAAGTTTGGATCAAATGTTGGGTTTTAAGTCCGACATTTTTGGGAGTGGGGTTTATTTTTGTTTTGGTTATTCTAGTATTTTGTTTTAGGCCGCCATTTTGGATTTGTTAGATTTAGAAATGATGGTTGTCTATTCCGTCATTTCTTGGGCCTTTAGGTGTATGTTTATTTTGAAGTTTCACGTTTGGCTTTGGTGATCAAATGGTGTACTTACTTATTCCGTTTGATCTTAATGGAAAGGGGATTTTGTTCTATTCTACAATATTTATTTCCCCATGGTTTTTAAAGACTCGATACTTAAATATAAGGGGGAAAGGAAAATCAGAAGCAAAAAAATAAAATATAGATGAATGAGGGGAAGGAACAGTAAAATCTAGAATTAAATATTTTGAAATGGAAACTAGAGGGAATGGAAACTGAAAAATGGAAACTAGAGGAATGGAAAAAAAACTTTTGAAATGGAAACTCGCGTTTCGCGTGTCGCTTTTTTAAATTTACTTTCGCGTTTCGCGTTTCACTTTTTAAATTTAATTTCGCCTTTCACGTTTCGCGTTTCGCTTTTTAAAATCCGTTTCGGCACACCCCTGCTTCATTTATCCTCCTATCCTATCCTCACGTATCTTCACTGGATATTGATCCCCTATCAAGATTTGCTTATACTCGTGTAAGGATGGCGGATCCGACAAAGGACAGGATATCTTAAAATTTTGGTTTAGACATTGGATCCGGATATCAGAAAATTTCCCAGGATCAGCCAACCTTATACCCAAGTGCCTTTATGTTTTTATGTATTCTAGTTAAATTCACTTGCAAAATTGAATTTAATTTAGTCTATTTTCTTTATTTATGTAAAAAAACACCTTCCCACAACCTTGTAAATTTTATTTATTTTTTTCAAAAATTATTTTTCTATTTATTCCGCGCATTTTTTAAAATTATATATTATTTTTTCTTCTATTTTTGCACACAATTTTTTTCATTATCATTTTTTATATAAATTTTTTAAAATTATTTTTGCGGCTCTTTTTTCCAATTTTCTCTTTTTTTTTTCAAAGAAAATTTCCTCCTTTTTTACTTTTAAAAAAATAAAAAAAAAA